GTGTATTCAAATGCCCTAGAATTTACCTGTGGCTTACCATGAATGGATAGACTTCTAAAAACATGAAAAAGATTTCAAAGTTACTATAAGTGATACATTTGTTGCTTAATTGTGTTCAGTTTCTGGGACTATGGGGAAAAATGGGTGAGATAAAGAAAGGGGTTCCCTTCAAATGGGAAGACTGGGGGTTCTTTCTCAGACCAGGAAGAGGGGAAGGAGTCAGCCTGTTTAAGGTGCTCACCTGCCTCGTAGTCCATTCATTTGTGCTTTTGAGTGGTTTCAGCACAGAGACTTTCTCTCTAGGGCAGTTTCTGAGCAGAAAGCAACTCATCTCATGTCTGGAGATGCTGGGAAGCCATCCTAGGCTGGGTGTTAGAAGAAACATAAGATCCCTTTCTGGCATGTAGTGCGGGGATCTTCCAGGTCTGTCCCACATTGTGTGATACCTTTGGTCAGTCATTACCCTTGGACATTCCTTTCTTCTTCCTCTTCCTGAGGAGGTTAAAGGCCTACAACAATAGTTTTGAAAGTTATTGAAACCACAGAACCTTTTCCTCAAAGGAGATGCAACTCCTAAATTGGATATGTAGGCATATGACCAAGTCACTTTTCTAAATACTATTTTTTGTTTGCTTTTTCTTCTGTGTTTTTCTTTTTTTTTTTTTCCAGTGCAGGAGCCTGGTCCTAGCATGTCTTAGATGCAGGATTTCTTTCAGCCCCAAATGCAAAGCTGTGTGACATCCATTGCTCTTTGCTTATAGAACATCATTATGAGATTGTGTGGCAGCATGATTTGTACACAATGGGATGGAAAAGGGCATACTTTTGCGAGTTACATAACTGAAGAGAGAGATTTTTCTCCATGTCTAAAAAGAATGTAGTGTGGTGTGTGTCTGGGACAAGGGGGCATTAATTTAGAGCTAGAACTTGTGCTAAACTTCCAGTGCCCCATATTAATGAGCAGACCCTGATCCAGGGCTGCGGGGTTAGCCACACATAGGCATACCTTTATTTAACAAAAAGTTACACACCATATCCAAGAAGGAACTTCGCACCAAAGACATTCCCAGGTGGCACTGGGGACATGGATGGGAGCAGTAACCATGATGGCCTGAATATTAGAGCCATATTTCCATTTTCCCATGCCCCAGGAGCCTCCCTGATTCATGTTGTTCTGTATGGCAGGGGTGCAGTAATGACGGGGATTTTGTTTCTGAGCAGTCCAACTGGATGTGTGTGTGTGTGTGTCCTTCATTGTGAATCTGTACACTTGCATTTATATCTGCTACTTTGAAAACAAATGAAAGTAGGCTGCCCTGGTAATCTTCTTTCCTATTTGTTGCCCTCTCTCATAAAAAGGATGCTCTGGTGAATAGTTCAGCAGCTTCACATCCACAAACCAAATGATGAAAGTCGCTTCCAAATTTCATACTCTTTGTCCTAGAGCATCATGCAATATCATATTCATACTGCCTTTAACTGGAAATAAAACTAAGATATGAATTCTGATTTCTAATGGATTTCTCACATAGGTCTATGCCTTATGGACTGATAGGGAGGGTGGAGCAGGAAATTTTTGAAAGTCCCCAACACTGTCCATTCCACTTGGGTCTGTTACTGTGTTAACATATATCCCCAAGTTCTGGCCATTATGAAGTGCTCAATGAGTGTGATTGATGGAAAAAGCTGTGTTTCCCAGTCCTTCTTCAGAAAGACACTCTTTTCTGGAACTTTCACAACTGAT